AAAGCTGAATTCGAAACCTTGAAGGGTGAATATCTTTCCGTGATTCCCGAGTTGATAGTTTAACCGTCAAAATCCTCACAAGGCCGTAGATGATACTCAACGGTGAGGGAACGCTGAATTTGAATAGGCAAGGTTGAGCGTGGACAGGGGGTTATTACCCTAAAATTACAGCCTCCTATACTCCGTGGTTCCTGAGATAATAATTTACCCGTAAAAGCCGTACTTGTTACTCGCGGGTACGGAAAGGCTGAATTTAGATTTGCCGCGTCACCCGTTGGCGGGGAACAGTATACCAAAATTTCAGCCGCTTAGCTTCTGTGGTTCCCGAGTTGAAAGCACACACAAACACACACACATACACACAAACACATACAGACAACCCCGTGACAATATGCGTTTTGTGACGCTGTTACACAGCACAAAACGCATAAAAACGAATAAAAACTAAGCTTAAGCAAGTGGAAATTGTCCCACAAAAATTCGTTTTCAGTAGTGGACTTCCCTTCTCTGTTTATGAAGTTGATGTTTAGGTAAAGTTGAGAGCTCTTACCTTTACCTACGCAGCTTTGACTTATTCATTCTCAGTTGTACCTAAGCATCAGCCTCATAAGTGGAGAAGTACCCTACTGACTACTGTTTTTTTAGGACAATTTCCCTTGCATAGGTTCAATTTTTATGCGTTTTGTGCTGTATAAAAGCGTTACAAAACGCATATTGTCACGGAGTTGTCTGTGTGTGTGTTTGTTTGTATGTGTGTGTGTGTTTGTGTGTGTGTCCCACATTTTACCCCACTCTTTCAACTCGGGAACCACAAAAACTAGGCGGCAGAAATTTTGGTATAGTGTTTCCCGTCAACGGGTGACGCGGCAAATTTAAATTCCGCCTTCCCTTATCCGCAGATAGCACGTACGGCCCCGTGAAAGTTTTCTGCGGGTAAATTAATATCTCAGGAACCACGGAGTCTGTAAGGCCGAAATTTTAGGGTAATGACCCCCTGCCCACGCTCAACCTTGCCCATTCAAATTCAGTCTTCCCGTACCCGCGGGTAACATGTATGGCCCCGTAAAGTTTGGGCGGGCAAAATTATTAACGCGGGAACCATTAAAGTTGGAAGGCTAAAATTTTGTAGGCATGTCCCCCGCTCATGTGCTACCTAGAAAATTTAAATTCAGCTTTCTTCTGCCCGCGGGTAACATATACGGCCTCGTGAAAATTTTTGACGGATAAATTAGTATCTCGGAAATCATGAAGTCTAGGAAGCTAAAATTTTAGAGTTATGACCCTCCTTCCCATTTCTATTCATTTACGATTTTCAACTCTTCTGTTTATCATAATATTCCTATAATTAACAATTTTTTTAGTTATCACAATCGTCGTACTGACGAGGTCCAGTTGCGGTACTGATTTGGAATGAATGCGACTTAATGTGCCGAAACATTCCAATTCAGGGTTTCTTTTTTTCATTACTTATTGCTGTCGTTACTTCTTGTTACTGTAGTTTATTATATTAGTTGTCGTAACTGTACTACTACTATTTAAGTTAGCCAATTTTACTATTAATTAGTTAACTATCATAATTTGTCATAGACTAGTACTATGAAGACACTGTGAAAAAATCAAAAAGACTCTTCTGACGATAGCAGCAAACAGGATTTAAATAGCTTCAGCGCAGCCAAAGTGATCTCCAGAGAGCTGGAACATTCCGGATGAGTCATTTCATTCTCTTAGCGTTTGTCGATGTTTAAGTGGAGTTGCTTTTAGCTGGATAATCAGTTCAGAAATAAAAAGAGAGCGCTTTAATCAGCTTGGGTTGACATTTTACCAGCGATTACGCGGCCTCAACTTTGACATATCCCTACTCATCACATAGGCGTGCTTTAAAGTTGGCTTTGAAACTTTTAGCTCATACAAGAACATAGAAAATACTTGTCAAATTTCAACTTCCCGCTTTCTGTGGTTCCCGAAGTCGTTTTCTCGCCAAAAAATTAATATGTTTTTTCGGCGTCCGTACGCGACATTCAAACGTAGGTGAGCGTAATTTCGAAACGGAAGGGTCGCGTATAAAGTTCGGAAACTTTCAGTCACCTAGCTTTTCTGGTTGCTGAGTTGAAAGTGGGTGACAAAATACGAAAGCACAATATATACTTTCAAATACACACACACACATACGTAAAACAAACAAACACACACTTATACAAGCATACCCAAGCAGGGGTTCGATAATGTGCGTTTTTCATTAGCTTCGCACCCACTCGGAGTACAATCGAGGAGCCAAGCAAGTACAGTGAATTACAGAATAAAATTATAAACCAGCATTTACGATCGCAAAAGTCGGAAAGGCTGTATTGCCCGGATGGGCTTCAATGGCATGAAGCAGCAGAAGTGCCCGCAGTAAATGGATTATGGCTTAGGGTGCTGACTCAGCCGACAGGCATCTTTATGCAACCTTTTTCCTAATGTTAAAATACCATCGATTTTAAACAACAATGAATTTTGTAATTCAAGCCG